GGCTCCCAGGCGGCGGCGCCCATTTTGCCCGCCCGTTTACGCGGCCTACACTCTCTGGGGACAGCCCTGAGGCAGCATCGCCGCGCGCCAGCCTCTCGAGCCTTTCGAAATTCGGTCCTAAGATAGTTAAGGTTTTATTTTGTTTTGTTTTCAAGTTACGGCCCCTGAATTTTGTACCACTCTCCCTGGACCACTTCCGCTTGCCGGCCCTTGCCTCGTAACTTTGGTGCGGGTGACCTCGGCCCCAGATGCCCCTCAGCTCGCCCTGGGCTCACGTCCTGATCCCGGCTTGACTGGCCCGAGGTGGGGGACCTGGAAGTTTTAGCCTCGCTGATTTCGAGGCGGATTAATTAGCCCAAGAAACATTATATTCATGTGAGTAACCTCTTGCAGAAACAGTGCTATACTGTATCTGAAAAAGTATCACTCTCGAGCTTGGCTGCTGCTACTTTCTACAGAGGCTTTTAAGTATCTTTTTTACAGGGAAGGGGAATGGGGGACTTTAGTTTTTATTCAAGGTCGGATGTATCACAGTAGTATTCACTGTACAAGTTTCCTCAGCTCTCCTTGTCTTGATGCTATCAGACATGGTGAAATTATAGGTAAAAGTAATTTTCTTTTGACGTATGCCAAACGTGCCATGGGTTGACAGTACAGATCTTTCAACTCCCAAGGTTAGGAATTACAGGGGACTTTAGGAACGATTCAAAATCAAAGAAAAATATATGCCGTGCTGCCCCCACAGCCCCTCGGTGTTTGTTTGTTTAATCTCGTTTTCTATTCCCTGTGTCGTTTTGAAGCTAGGTAGACATGGCAGTACTGGAAAGGGAACATTCCCAAGGTGCTACCTGAAGAGGTGTTGATGCTTTGCTCTTTTCTCCCAAGTCAGTTCCAACCCAAGTCTCCCCACAGACAGGCCCTCATCCAGTAGAGCTATCTGTGATATGTATGCCAGCAACCTCCATTTTTACCTAATGCTTAAGGACCACATGGCACATCTTTCCATGATTAATTTTGATAATGATGAAGCTTGGGAGAAATTTCAAGTGTGCAATTACTTTGGACCCACCTAAATTTTCTCTTAAGTTTCAATTTTGCACCATATATTTATTTTCAATTACTTTTCGTGTCTAGTATGCCCTGCCCTGATGGGGCAAGGATGGCTGTTACTATGTTTAGTGATGGGATATTTTGAATTTATAAATTGTCTTTAGGCACCTTCAAGAAAACACCTTTGTTTGTTGTTGATGTTAATCTCATAATCTAGAATGACATTCTCTAACTTTTATAATGCTCATGGCTGCATTTTATAGCCCTAAACGTTTAATTGGAGTAGAAAAAACTATTAATATGTATGGCAAGCTTATTTTGTGCTAGATGATCTACTAAGCATTTATTTACCTTGTATATGTAAGCTGCCCCAATTGAAAACAGGCTCTGCAACTTCCTACCAGTGTGACCTCAAGCAAGTTACCTAACTTCTTTGTGTCTTACTTCCCTCATCTTTTTTTTTTCCTTATAATCTTCAACCAAGGATATGTTTTCATTGATTTCAGAGAGAGAGAAAGAGAAACATCTATGTGAGAGAGAAACATCGATTGGTTGCCTCCCGTATTTGCCCCGACCTGGGACTGAATCCACAACCTAGGTATGTACCCTGACCAGGAATTGAAGCCACAACCTTTTGGTGTACGGGATGACGCTCCAACCAACTGAGCCACCCTGCCAGGGCGACTTCCCTCATCTTTAAGTGGGGGAAATAATAGTATCCATTTAATCAGATGATTATGAAGATTAAAAGTGAAAATTTATTTAAAACACATAGGAAGTGCTAAATAATCGCTATTATGATCAATATGTTCTTCAATTCTCATTTTACAGAAAACTGAGGTATAGAAAGGTTAACTTGCCTGAGGTCACAAAGCTAGTAAGTGGCAAAGTCAGGATTTATACACAGGCCAGTCTGATTCCAGGGCTTACGTTCTTCGTAACCTCATCCGTTATAATTGGATGAGTTCATTAATTGACTTCAAATAAGTGTATACAACTGATTAATTTTCAAAAACTGTTAAAACACCTGGAAATTAAAAGCAGATTATCCTTTTTTTCAAAGACACAAAATAATTTATTCTGTAAAGGAACAATAATGGTGTTACTTAGATTACTACCTAAGGAAGCCTTCTATGTTGTATATCATCCATTTAAAACATAATTTACAAAATGCCTTACTAATAAATAGTCTGTCTAGGCCAGTGTGGTCTCTGATTGTGGCATCAAGGTGACCCCCATGGGGACAATCTCTTTTAGTGCCTTCATGGATGATAAAGCTATATAAACACTTTTTTAATCCATTTGAATTTGCAGCTGGTAGTATTCCTTGAGTTGAGTGGAACAAGTTTATGTTCTGTGTATTATATTGCACCTTGTACCTAAGTTTATCTTGAGGTTTTAAGAGATTCATTCTAGTTCAAGGGGTCCTGAATTTGTGAGCAAGTGTAATGAGCAGAGAAATGTTCTCTAGTCAAATAAGTTTGGGAAATGTTAAACGAAATAGTTTCTTTACTACATAACTTGCCAGAGCTTTCACTGTGTTAATGTGGTTTATGACACTACAAGATTCCCAAACTTATTTGACCAAGGTGAAAGTTAGGGGCAAGAGTTCCAAGAATCACATTTAGACAAATTGTGTCCCATTCATACAACCTGTGATTTTGCGGACTTTGATCTTAATCCCTCTCACTCAGCCTTTGCTTTTGCGTTTCTCTGCTGAGGATGTTGGTTCATGTTCATATGATAGCTTCTCAGTCCCTTGATCACTGTAGTTGCCTTTTACTGGGCCTTCATGCTCTCTCTGAGTGGTAGCATACACAAGTCCAGAGTCCTGTGCTGGGATTTGTTCCCAGGCTCATCCTGCTGATGCCCAGCACATTGGCCTTTGGATCACAGCAGCACATCATGCTGCCTTGTGAGAATATTTTGTAATGATTCACAGGCCTCTTTGTAGTGATTCATAGTAACTCAGACCATCGTCTCAAATTTGTTTGCCCTCTATTCCACTGGAATTATTTCCTTTTCATGTCAGTGTAAACCAGTAGAATTCTGCTTCTAATGAAAAACATTTAAATGTCAATAATGTTGCTTGTTGCTAGAACCTATCTGTGAAATTGAGATGGTCCTAAAACCCATAATACTTAGTTTCTACTTTTTAAAAAACAGCCACAGTTATTTCCTTCGTAATCCAGACAATATGTTTTATTTTGACATAAGCATTTACTGAGTTTTTATTTGTATCGCTACTTTCCAAAGCCCTGGGGAGGAGGAGAGGCAGAACAATTGTATCTATTTGACTAGTATTTGAGACTTGGGATATCAAATACTGTATCATTCTTACTACTGAAGAGCTTATAGTACTGTATTTGAGGAGAGTCAGGACTTGTGAAATAAGCAGAGCAAATATGCAAGGAAATTTATAATTAGGGGTGAAAATATGAGCTTTAGTTTAGACATAAATGCTGTAGTAGTCATAGAGAGGCAAGAAGGCAGACACCTGCACTCTGCCATAATAGTACTGAGGCAGAGAGGCCTGAGGAGGCATTTCAGGCAAGTGGAAGGCAAGATCAAGGATATAGGGCTAAAAATGAGCCTGGTGTTTGGGAGAAAGTTTACCTCAAGTACGGTGGTAGTGGTGCTTCCTGGAATTGGTGACAAATAGGATGTAGCAACAGAAGTAGATGAAGAGGTCCAAGATAACTAGTAAGTTTCTGCAGGATCAGGAGGGGTGGTGTTTCCATTGAAAGAAAGCAGAATTTGGTTAAGGAGAGGGGGTTCACTTTAGGTGAATTTGAAATGAGAGAGCCCTATAAGATAGGAGCTTACAATGGGCTCAGTCGGGATACAATGGGCAAAGCAACTGTGATATTAAATTATTCACTAAAATCAGACCATTTCTTAAATCTATAAAATATATTTTTTACTTTCCTTTTAAGAGAAGGTAAACTAACAGTGTTTAGGGAAATAAATCAGATTCAGATTGTTGACCTTGAAAAAAGGTTTGGTTTAGCTCAATTAATTCTTTCTGGCTAACTTTGTCCTGGGCTGCATCATACTGTGTTCTGGCATCTCATTTGCTCTTGATAGTCTCACTTGAGGGTTTAACAACTTCTCAAGCTGTGCTGCAGTTCTGTTCCCACCTAATGGTAACCTAATGGGAATAGGAGGCCTTTGTTTAGTGGAGTAGATCCCCAAGTGCTGTATCTGTGCTCTGCCAAAGGTAGAAACACATTGAAAACCATGCTGCACAAAATGCAAAATGCAGGTCAAGTTATTGTGAAGCCCTGAAATGAGATCCAGGGCTGGGCAGAGGATTTATGGGTTTAGAACCCAGTCTGCCTCATATAAAGAGTTTGCCCAAGAGGTGGGCCTCCTGTACACCTCTCAAAAGACAGAGGGACTTTTCTGGACTTCTGACTTGGGAAATCATAATTAAAACCCACACCTATATGGAAAAATGGGCTTCTGTGACATCCTGAAAAGCATTAATAAACTAAAATGAGACAAGGATCTAGGTGGATAACTATCATTTTCTCTCACTCAGCTCCAGGTCTCTATGATCCCCAAAGCCTCTTGCAGCTCAGAAATTTCATGAAGCTGCCTTAAATATTTTCCCTAATAAGAAAACCCCTTCTGGAAATATCCAGTTGCTATACCTTTCTAAGTAAATTGATAAATAGGCCATTTGCTCTTAAAACATTTATTTTCAATTTAGAAAGCCATGCACATGATTCAACCCTCACAATCTTAACTTTTAAAATGAAAACTGCTTTTACATGGGGAATGTGGCATACATGTGTCTGTTATACTGCATTCCTGCCCAAATAAGTGTGCCCTTAGGCACACTCTTGTGCATATTCTGTTGCTAACTACACTTTGTCAGATACTGCTTTGTGAATGCAAACTTGAGACCAGTGCCCAGCTTCCTGTAATGCTAGTCCTACATTTCCACAGAACTCCTTACCTAACTGAATTCTTGAGTACTTTGTAGTCAACCCGAGGCTATGCTGAGTGTCACTTCAGTGTCTTGCAGGGAGTTTCAGCTGGCCTTGGTTCTATTTAGGCTGTGCAGGTAGACATATATGAGGTTTGGTTCTGGTTGGTGGTTGCTAATACCAGGTCACCTTGCTCACTGGTGAGTTCATTAAAACCCAAAAAGTCACACCTGTGTCCTGTGCGCGGGTGCTGCAGGCTTAGGTGGAGAAAAGCAGGGCTAGAATTGGAACTCAAAGCCCAGAATGGCAGGAGAGGATGTGGGGGCTCCACCCGATCGCCTCTGGGTTCACCAAGAGGGTATCTACCGCGACGAATACCAGCGCACATGGGTGGCCGTCGTGGAACAGGTAACTATTTACATTGTGCTTATTTCTTTATTGATTTTGCTTTCAATCAACTTGGATTCTAACTAGTCACAATATCCTAAAGTCTTTGGTTTTATTTTTGTTCATTTTTTTCCATTAGGGGACAAGTTTCCTAAGGGCACGAATCCAGCAAGTTCAGGTTCCCTTAGGTGACGCAGCTAGGCCAAGTCACCTTCTTACCTCCCAGCTACCTCTCATGTGGCAACTCTACCCTGAGGAGCGCTACATGGATAACAACTCTCGCTTGTGGCAGATCCAGCATCATTTAATGGTACACATGTTGCTTAATCATTTCCCATTGTATTGGGACTCTTATAACAGAGTACTCTATAAACTTTTCTTTTTCTGACAGGTCAGGGGAGTACAGGAGCTGTTGCTTAAGCTTTTGCCTGATGATTAACCTGGTATGTTTTTGGTTGTTTTTTGTTGTGTGTTTTTTTTCTCTCTACTGTCTCTCTTTCTTCTTTTTCACTCTGCTCGGTTGTGGTGATTTTAATGATCTATTTTTTTCCAGGTGCTGGGATTCTAGGAAGATATGCTCCTCTGTTCTGTTCAGTATATGGCAATCACTTCATCCACCACTGCAGTGCACCCATCTGTGGGCCTGGGGGAGGGAGTGGGTTGAAAAACTGCTCAAGAACACAGAAGTTTAGGAAGGGCCATGAAGAACACCGCAAGTGGAACTGCAGAGAGAGGGTTACACAGGCAGAAAGCGAGTCAACAAAAGCACTTAGTCAGGATACGTAACTTGAAATTTACTCCTTTGGAAGTTGCCATAGAACCTTTAATGGACATCATCAGCTGGAACTGGGATCTGATGAATCCCACAAAAGTCAGCACCTGCTACAGAACAAATGCTCTAATCACCAAGGACTTGGTACTGATTTAGAGAGAAGAGAGCAGCTTCTAGCAGCATCAACATCTATTGGTCGTTTATTTGCCCTGCAGCAATTCACCTGCCTTTCCTTCTCCCATCCTGTAAATATCGTAGGTTTTGCTCCAGTGTTTCCCATCCCAGTACTGACCTAACTTGGATCTACTGAGAACTTAGGGAGCTCTAGGGGAAAAAGGGTTATTTGCATTAATGAAATTAGCAACAAAGGCTCCTGGGCCTTTTTTCTTCTGAAATTGTCTTCAAATTATTAGAAGTTGCTGATCAAAATCGTGGGCACTTAAAATTATTCTCTGGTTACAGATATTTTAAATAAGCCTTTTCTGTAAGAGTTCTAAAAAACATTTTAGCTGCTTAACTAGCACCTTTCTCGGGGCCAAATATTGCTGATTCCTAGGAAAGCATTGACTGCCTGATAATTTCCAGAGTTAAGATAGTTATAACAGTTTATATACATTAAACCTTAGTTTTACTTTTTAAAAATCTTAGGAACAGTAGCTACCATGTAGCAAGTCCTTACTGCCATCCAGGCCCTGTTCAGTGCACTTTGTATACTTTATCACATTAATTCTTCCCTCAGTGCTTTGAGGTAGGTATGATCCCCAGTTTACACGAATAATAAGGGGAAAGGCTCGAGGAACTTGATCATTTACCAAGGGTGGTTTTGTGAATGATAGAGCTGGGCAGTGGGCAGGCCCTTCAGGCTGTGGCGTTGGCTCCTCTAGCTCAACATTGGTTTCAATATTCAGGATAAATTGGTTGAAGTCAGAGGTTTTTATTTCCATGTAAAGCTACTTATATCTTTCAAATCAAATGAAATGGATATTATAAAAATACAGTTGATTCATCCTATGAATGGGAAGAGTATTTTTCAGTGTAATTGTGTTCCAGCAATTGAAAGGGCATACTACTTGTCTCTGAAGAAAATTCCTTCTAGAGGGGCTTTAAAGTCTTTATAAAGAAAAGACAAAATAAAAATCATTTTTGTTATTTTAGTGTTCTGGATATGCTGCAGAAGGATCCGTGCCAGAAACAAGCCTGTGAAATACAGAAATGTTTACAAGGTAATATGTTCCATGCTTTTAAGATATTTTTCCACTTTATATGTGAACTAACTACAAGAGACCAATTGTTCTTTTTATCAGCAAAGTATATTAGCTCCTCTCAGAATGTAATATTTGTGTAATTAACTTAGCCTGAAGATCTTCCTCACTGTATAGTCAAAGATGCGGAAAATAAAGTGATGTGATCTAAACTTGGAGTTTGCAATCCTGGGTGTAGAGTAGAATCACATGGAAAGCTTTAAAAACTTGCCTAGAACAATGAAATCAGACTTCATGTGGGTGGGGTCTGGGCAGGAATCTAAGAAGCTAACCAGGTAATTTTAATGTGCAGCCAGAGTTGAGAATTACTAGGCTGAGCAAAATCCTTTAAAAAAAAAAGAAGACTAGTTTTAAAATGGGTTTGTTATATTTAACTATGCCTGACAACTCACTTTTTAAAAGCGATCAGGTTAGAAGAGGGGTGTTGAAAATACAATTCGAATTCAGGCTGCCAAAGTCAGCAACTAACTCTTAAAGGCAAAAGTGAATGTCAGCTAAAGTATATTTGATGTGATTTGTCCATTCGGTTTTCAATCAGCCAATATGTTTGACCAAATGCCAGAGGATTTAATTTTTTTTTTGAATCAGTGAATGATTGTTGGCAGAACAAATGCAAAAGGCTTCAAGACTATGTGAATTAGAAAACTGACTTTTTTGATAATTTTCCCGTTATTAAAGTACAGTAATAGAGATGGACACCCTTGAAAATAGAGAAAGGCAGGAAGGAAAACTGTTGAGTCACCAGACTCAGCATCAAAGAAAACTCTTGTTTGGATGTTTTCTTTGACTTTTAACTTCTGTTCTTGAACTTTTCATCATGTGAGCAATGTTTTATTTAAAGTCTTTCAGTCCAGAGTGTTAATGTATACTAATGCCATTTTATTCATCCCTCCTTCCCTTTCTCCAAATTAAAAAAAAAAAAGGAAAACCTTTTAATCAATTAATTTCTCCCACATGAATCCGTAACTGATTTAAATTAGCAACCCACGGCTTAGGGAGAGTAGGAATCACATTAGGGCTCATCACACACCTGCTGCAGTGTGGGAGGCTGGAGGGCGCGGAGGGCTAAGAGCACTAGGCATTCCCTGGAGGACAAGTCATTTAATCATTTCATCCATGAGGTAGATGTTACTATGACCCCCATTTTACAGATGGGGAAATCAACACGGAAGTTATATAACTTGCCCAGTGTCACACAACTGGTAAGGGGTACAGTGAGGATCTGAATCCCGCTGGTCTGGCTCCTAGCCTGGGCACAGCCACTCCACTATACTCTTTCTAGTCGGAGGCTAACTCCCATGCACCCCATTTTAGTATTGAGGGACTTCAGTCAGTTGAAGCTGATCTAGAACCTTTAAGTCAAGTCCTCCTTGACTTAGGATCTATGTATAGCAGGGGTCTGCAAATGTTTTCTATAGAGGGCCAAACAGGAAACATTTTAGGCTTCGGAGGAGGAAGTCTCTGTTGGAGAAAGGTGTGGGGCGGGGAGAATTACATTATTAGCTCACAGCTGTATAAAAGGGTCGACCCTGAGGGTGCAGTTTAGAACCTCTGATGCACAGACTTGGTAGGGAAGGTATACCAGCCACCTTAAACTGTATGCAAAATAACATGCACGGTACATGCATTTTTCTAATTCACCAAATTATAAAGGAGTTAGTCACCCCGCAAAAGGGAATAGGTTAAGAAACCCTGCCCTACAAAAAGGCACATAAGCTATTAACCTTAAAGAAAAGAAAATGATATAGAAAAATACCTTTTGACTGCTTTGTATATCACATTTTTCTTCCTAATTAACGTGCTGACTGGTCTCTATATCAGAAAGAATTCAGTGGACTTTGATACATCTTTTCTCCCAGGTCTGTAGATACAATAAAGTAAAAAGGAGTGGGAAGCATTGATCTAAAACTCCCTGTGCCTTCGTCCTATGAGATCATGACTAGGTTCTGCCTGTCTGTTTTTCAGCCAACAACTACAGGGAATTGAAGTGTCAGGCTGTCATCCGAGAACTTCGCGAGTGTTGTGCTCGCTATCCCAAGGGAAGATCTGTCGTCTGTTCAGGATTTGAAAAAGAAGAGGTAGAAAAGCTGACACTGAAGTCCACATCAAAGTAAAGTTCTGCGGAGAAGTTCAGTGCCGCGCCACGTTTCCACCAAGCGAGTTTTATTTATCCTCCTGACTCTTCAGGCCAGGTAGCAGCAAATATCAAATGAAAAAGTCAACTATAAAAGTTAATAAATATGCCATCTATGCAGAACAGATAGAAATATATTAAACAAACATGTAGAATGTAATAAAACTGAGCTGCTAAAATAAACCTGTTAAGTGAAAATTTTTTGGTTTGGTACTTGTGATATTGTCACTTATAAGAAATGTATATTTAGTTTTTGTCTCCATTCCAGGCACAAAGCTCCTAAAACCCTTTGGAATTTCCTAAATGATAAGAGTGATAAATGATAAAGGTGTCTTTTGTAACAGTGAGATGAGGGAAAGCCCCTAGGTAACCCATGGATGGAGGCTGGTTGCCAGGGGAACCAACTACATGATTAGAGGATAGGAACTTTTAGTCCCTACCCCCATGCCCACCCCCAACTTCTGGGGAGGGGAGAGGGGCTGGAGAAGATTGAGTTCAATCACCAGTGGCCAATAATTTAATCAGTCAATAAAGTATTAGGTGAAAACAGCCCTCCAGTGACACCTTTCATAGATTACATGCTAAATTCAAAGGTTTATCTAACCCAAGCCCATATCTGTTGTATTTCCAATAATTTAAAGCAAAGCGTCTTCCCAAATGCAAGTAAGAGCATTTCTTTCTGCTTTTGTATCCGCATCACAGTGCCTGGCCAGAAGGCATGTCATACTTAGTGAGTGGTAGAAAAGGCATAGAAATGATTGTTGTTTTTAACAACCCCTAATTTATCATGAGAGAACTTTACTGGAAGTCAAGCAGGCAGCAACAGCATTAGAATTCTTAGGTAGTTTATCTGCTCTTTATATTCTCGTAATCAAAACAGATTACAGCAGATCCTTGTGTTAATACAAGGCTGCCGAAGAAAAGCTGTTGACAGTTGTCAGTAACTTCATGTAGTGAATGGGGGGTGCGGTGGGGGTGACAGTATCAAACAGGCCATTTGATAGCCTCCCTGCCCCCCCCATCAAAAAAGAAAAAGATGACTTTCTAAGCAAGAGCAGAAACAAATTTTGATAGGTTCCTGTCTTAATCCATTCAAGCTGCTATAACAAAACACCACAGATAAGACATCTATTTCTCACAGTTCTGGCAGCTGGAAGTCCAAGGACAAGGCACCACAGATTCAGTGTCTGGTGAGAGCCTGCTTCCTGGTTCGTAGATGGCTGCCTTCTCGCTGTGTCCTCACATGGTACAAGTGGACAGGGAGCTCTGTGGGGCCTCTTTTATAAGGGTACTAACCCTTCATGAGGGCTCCACCCCCATGAACTAATCACCTTCCAAAGGCCCCATAGCCAAATACCATCACATTGGAGGGTAGGATTTTAACATGAATTTGGGGGTACACAAAGATTCAGTCTATAACAGGATCCTTTCTTGCCTCTTCCAGCATGCTAGAAAAAACCTACATTGCTGTGAATGGACTGAGATAGTCCCTAATCTGCAAATACCATTATTATGTGAGACCAACTGTTCTTTAAAGCAGCATTCCCCTAAGTGTTTCTAGGAATTGCTATAACAAGGAAAAAAGTCTTCTGTGTTCAGATAAGTCTGGGAAATGCTAGGTTAGACATAATATGGGGTCACATGAGGATATAGCCCAATTCCCCCACCCCCAGTCAGTTGAATGGTGTCCGCCTGGCCAGCAGTCACAAGGAGCAGAGCAGCACATGCCCAGGTGTCTTCCCATGTCCTTGACAGCCAAGTCTCACCAGAATCTTTGTTTGACCTTGGCCTGCATGCGAGCTGTCCTAAGCATGACACCCTTCCTCTCCCCTCTGCTAGATAAGCCCCTGCCGAACCCTGGCCGAGTGCAGAAACTTACCTGACCGGGCCGCTATTGGGTCTTCCCCTAGTATAAGTAAGAAAGGCTATGTCCTTCCCCTCTGGTCCCCACATGGTTTTTTCAGACTAGCAAAGAATAGCTTGGCACTCTGAGGATTGGATCTCTTACATTGTACACAAACAGGTTTCTTTCTTGTAAGATTTCAAAGCTTTTCATATGCTAATGTGAATTATGATTCTTTGTGAAGGACTATTGTATGAAGTACTTCCAAAGTGTAATCAGCGAACCCATTTCGCAGACAACATCTCTCAGGGTGTATGTTTTCCAGAGAGACTTGGAGAAATGGTGCCTTAGAGATATTTGGTCCACATACCAGATTAACAGTGCTACAAGCCCATGAAATAATTTAAATGAACTCTTGTGCTACTGGTGAAACAATTTAATAAAACATTTTAAAACTGTTATATACAAGTCTAAATTACATTTAAAATGATCAATTGATAGTGGTGCTGGGATTTACATTAGGAATCACATGATCAAATAGATTGCTTTCTGTACTTTATTACAAAATTATTTTTATTGAGTTAACTACTCAAGTTTCAGACTGTTTTTTAATTTTTTTTCCTAAGCAATACAAAATAAACATAAAAAAACTTTTTTCCCTAAGGTATATTACTTTATTGGGGGAGTTTAAAGCTTCAAATCAATTGTTCCTTCCTATCTTTAAATTCAGTCCTGTCTCAGTTTAAGTCAATGTCTATTGGCAGCATTGATTTAAATCTTATTCTTCTTAGCTGTTATGACAAACAGAAAAATAAAACAGCCAGTAGAGAAGCTTAACATTTACTGAGCGCTTTTTATGTGTTAGGGACCATGATTAGCACTGAATCTCAGTCTTCAGGGAAGAACTGGGAAAGTAAGAACTATGATCTCATCCTGCATTTTAGAGACTAGAAGGCTTGTAGTGGTGATAAGTTTAATCCTTTAGTTAATCCTTTAGTAGTGACTGACCTCTTGGCTGGAAAGGTAGTTTTCCCTTTGTAATGGGTAATATGTGGGTGATATGTTGGTGCCCTACAAATATCCCCCAACCTTTCACCTAATAGCTTTAGCATCCACTGATGACAAAAGCCCCTGCTCTGCCATTATGATACAGTGTGACAATGCTCTTCCCTGCACCTACTCCACACTATTTCTATAACATTTAATAAACTGTTATATTACACTTATGTTCAGCATCTGAAGTTGTATGGCACCTAACTTAAAAGGCTTTAAAGGGCCTGTCAATTAGTCACCTTTAACAGCAGAACTGTAACTCTATTAGCACCAGCTCCCAACTTTGTATTTCAGTGTTTTCAACCTTGGCTGCTCATTAGAAACATCTAAGGCATGTTAAAAAACTAAAAAACAAAAAGCAACTCAGGCTGTCCCAATGGTACCCCAGAGCAGTGAAATCAAGAGTCCCTAGGATGACAGCCAGGTGTCAGTAGTTTGCAGAATTCTGCAGGTTGATTCCCATGTACAAGCAAGAATGAGAACCACTGCTCTCAATAATCCTAATGGTATTTCTTACCATTTCAAATTCAGAAAGGTAGACAGTTTGGGTGAGTCAATAAGCTGACTTAAGTTTTATTAAAAAAGTGAAAAAAGTGCAACACTCAGTTGTTGTTTTTTTTAAACATATCTTTATTGATTTCAGAGAGAGGAAAGGAGGGGGGGAGAGAGAGAGAGAGAAATATCAATGATGAGAGAGTCATTGATTGGCTGCCTAGCCCGCAACCTGGGCATGTGCCCTGACCAGGAATCGAACCCCAATCTCCTGGATCCTAGGTCGATGCTCAACCGCTGAGGCACGCCCAGCTGGGCAACACTCAGTTTTCTTTAGAAAAATAGTGCTCTTAAAATTCATGATTCCTTAAGAATCAAACATCACAGATGTAAGCCACACCATATGATTTCTGGGAAATCAGGTCTAGATTAAGATATATTTTCTGCCCAGTTCTCCAAGAGATCACACAAACAATGTGTAAGTGACTAAACAGGTCCCATACTTGGACTTCATGACAAAGAAACAAAGCTAAGTTGGTTGAGGAGGCAGAGAGGGGGGCAGTCTAATTTATTCTATAAGGTCTAAAACTGGCCTGAAGTGAGTTTCCTTCAGAGAAGAAACTGAGATCATCATGAAAATTAATGATTCTCAGAAATTTCAAATCCATCCGTATACCACTTTTTTCAACCAGAGATTTATTGTATTTTCCCAACTAAACAAAAGTCGAGATTTCAAATAAGAGCCCAACCATTAGTTATGTCCATCTTTCCACGAATGCCAAACAAGAGGATGACGGCGAGAACATTTATATGTTAACTGCACCGTAACTGCGTTTTGAAAACACAAACACCCACCCAAAGAGTGTGTTAGCTACAGTTATGTATGAGCCACTCCTTCAAGAAGAATGAATAAGGGAGAGTGGAGGGAGGAGGGGAGAGAAGGGATAAAGGTAGGGGTGGAGAAGGGTGGGAGGAGAGAGTGAGAGCATGAGCATGAATAAACCAATCCCTTCTGTTATGTGATAACGTGAACAAATCCTCCATGTGAGAATACTGCTAACCAATTTTCTTACTCAATAAAACATTTGAAACAAAAAATAATAATGTCTTCCAACTTTAATCACCTCCTATCTTCTGCCAGCATCCGTGAGGTGGGTAACTTCCTGGGTCCAGTAGGGAGGGCTTTAAAAAAAAACACCTGTCTTTATTGTTGAAAGGATTACAGATGTCCCTCTTTTTTCCCCCATTGACCCCCCTCCACCCTGCATCCATCCACCCCCAAATAGGGAGCGTTTTCACCCAAGTAGTCGGCCAGGTGAGGAAGTCTAGGCCCGCCTCCCTGTCCTGTGCTGACCGTCCTAGGCTGAGTGGTGAGAGGCTGAAGCAAACAGGGCGGCAGGAGCAAAATCTTATTAGTATGTTATCCTAATGGCAGTGACACTCATATGACAACAGGGATGCTCAGGCAGGAATCCCTGAGGAGTCAGCACTGAGGAGTCTCCCCTTAGAGAGTCCAAAAACATCAGAGTATTTGTTGAGCCTAAATGCAGCCATGTAAAGCGAAAACGCCCCTGGATCCCTCTCCCATTTCCTCTGACACCAGGAAGAAGCTCTACTGTATCCGCCCCAAGTCCTCATCCTACCTGGTTCCATCCCAGAAGGAATGCTGGGTCAGAGGGTGGCCCAGAGTGGCGAGGACACTGCAGCTTGAGGAGCCAAGGGAGAAAAAAAGCTTCTTAGGGGCTCCAGGTACCACCACGTTGTGGGTGTGTTTTGTGCTGGTACCAACATCACTCAGTGCCAGAGGAGATTCTCCCTTTTCGGGTCAAGCTACAGGCAGAGAAGCCGAGGGCGGCATTACCACATTCCTGCCAGCAGATGATGAAACTATAAACCTGTTCAAAGTCAAGTTGCTCAAGTGCAACCACACAGAGCACGCTGAATTGCTCAATCAGTCAAGGAAAAACTGCTGTCTTTTCACCCCCCGCCCCCCACTAAAAAGGACTCCCAGCACATTATTGGACTCTAGGTACTGGAGAAAAATAAGTGCCTCACTAAACAGGCCTCACTAGTCAAATGAAAATAGTGCATTCATGGCTATGGTAGCCTGGCCCTGGTGTCTTGGTTTTGCATGAAGGGGTGGCAGCTCTTCTTTTAAAGAAAATCTTTTCTCACACTTCACCACCTGAAGCAAAGCTACTGGCAATAGGGCCTCAATTGAGAGGCTCCCCTAAACGCCTGAGCCTACTTCACTGGTGGTTCAGCTCACCTGAAACCCAAGATGTGTGCCAGACCACTGCCACTGCGCAACATCAGCACCAGCTCTGCACAGCCACAGGTGGTGGCCCACTCAGTGGGCAGAACTCAGGGCTATTCTCATAGCAGCAGGATGAGGCCAACGTGGAATATTGACCTCAACCATGCCTCTCGGGTCCCAGAAGCAGACAGCTGGAAATAAACTTTAGATAGGACCTATAGAACTTATTTCAGTCTATTTAATATTACAACCCACTCAAAGCAGCTTAGACCAACCTGCTAACCTTTGTTATCACCTATAATCACAGAAAAAAATAGATGGACAAAAGGCAACTCACACATTACTAGAGAAGCATTCAGTGGCCACTCTCTCCAACATGCAACTGAAGTGTACAGGGCACTTCAGTTAGGTTTTATAGTCACGATTCCATTGGTCTGGATGAGTCACATGAGTAGAGTCATCGTATGGCTTCAGCTTTGATCGTCATATTTGACATAACCCAGGTACCCAGGCATCAGAAGCAGAAGGTAGGGAACTAGGGAATAACTCAGTGTCTTCAAAAAATATACTGGAAGTCAAAAAGGACACATAAGATTGAGACTTAAGAGATATATCATCCAAATGCATTGTGGACCTTATATGGATTTTTGATTCAAACCGACCAAATATAAAACTTAAGAGACAGGAAATCTTGAACACTGACTAGATATTTGATGATATTAAAGAATTATTAGTTTTTGGTATGATAATAGGGTATTGTATTTATGATTTTTAAAGAGTTCTTACCTTTTAGAGATACATACTAAAATAGATAAAATGACACATTTGGTATTTATTTCAAAATAATTGATAAAACAAGCTATAATTTGATTGTCATTGTAGGTGGGTGATGGATACACGGGGGTCATTGTATTATTTTCTCTACTTTTGTATATGTTTGAAAGTTTCCATAATAAAAAGTGAAAAAGCTTTAAGTTCTTATATAAAAATATGCAACATAGAGGCTCATAGTATTACTACTGGGGACAATTCATACACACTGCAAGCAAAATAACTTAAGCTGCCTTTAAGTACTGCCATAGTGTAATGAGAAAAATGCAAATGGATGAATTATGAAAAGTTCCACACATCCACTGGTAGCTACAATTTCCACATTCAATACATCATTCCCAAGATAAGTTAAAAGGCAAACACTTTAAAAGGCAGGCCTTGAAAACATACATTTGCAAGGGATCATGTGCAAGTTTAAGAACTAATTCCAAGTTTTCTGCATTCTCAGAACTCATAAAGTCTCAATTCTTTGCATCAGTCCCTTTTCCAGATACCTTTGTATGAGGTCATTATTCATGTATTCAGCAACTAGTGAGTACCTATTAAGTGCTAGGCTCCATGGGTAAAATAGTGAACGTACAAACCTTGTCCTCTAGAAGCAGATATTCTAAATAGGGTTGCAGATGTGGTATCAGGCCATTAGAGCAAAATGTGCTAAGATTCTGAGCATATGTGTGTCCATATACTTTTATTTTAAAGAGTAAGTCTAAAGAGTCAGAGTCATGAGACAGCAGATTACATTTCATGATGGAAATAATTTATTTCACATGTGCTATTGCCACCATTTTCAATTCTGAATACCTGGGATGCTACCTCTTTAACACTCTGGTTCAAATGTTTATATATTTTATACTAACTGGATAAAGAAATAGTAGAATTGGCAGAGGAGCTAGGACTAGTCCTAATGCTTTGTCAAGAAGTAAAGAATACCTCACATTTCAAAGCTTAAAACCAAAAATCCAAGAGCTTCCTCCTTCTCTCACCTAAAGTCACTTATTTTACCATAAACAAACCCTTTGGGAATAGCCACGAGATGCATTATTCTGTATGGTGGAAAACCCAGATAACATCTTTAATGCCCCAAAATGATTTGTTAAGTCTGACTATACACTGTATCTATTGGTTAATTTCCCTAAAGATTTTCCCACCAAACACAGTATCTTCAGTGCAGCATATATACGTTTAGCACAAGTTCATTCTATATGCATAATTTTTCAATTGCAGTGCTTATGCCAGGATTACTATAGCAGTTATAAATACCTCTTTTTGTAATCTAAAACCAACTAAAAAAGAAAGTAGACACCAAAATCTTTCTTGGTTAAAGGCAAATGTATTCAGTTCCTTCCCATGGAGCACATAATGAGGTGTCTACGTGCTTGTTATTCCTTTTCCAAATCAAGTTTGGGGCAATCTTTGAGGATCCATTCATCCTCCATGGTGAGCCATCTTGCACTGTGTGCTAGTATGTTATGTAGGGGGGAAAGGAACATTCTTGCTGACCTATACATTAGTCAAGTGGGGAGTGTTCTGGGAGGAGAGCTAATGTCTATTGTCTCTTCCGCTGTTGTAGTGAGGCTCACAGTAGGGCTGTATCAGTTTGTACCAACAGATGCCTATAGAAGCCATTCGGATATGCTACAGCAGGGAGGAAGGCACAGGAGAAGAGGTCAGGGAGGAAGAGGAGGCTCGATGTCTTATGATGGAGTGAAGAGGCTGGTCTAGGTGGAAAAATCAGGACTAATGGAAGTGAAGTTGTTCTCCTTAGGATGCCATGCCAAGCAGAAAGCCTCCAAAAAATCCACCAGTCACTAGAACGTTCTTCTTCACGAATGACACCATCTAGGAACAGAAGATAGCATAATGGGCTATTTTACTAAGGATAGTATTAGAAAAAATCGTCTCTATCATCTATGCAATCTTACAATGCCAATCCCCTCATCTGTTGAGTAGTTTGTACTTTACCCACAGGGCAATGGAAACTATGAATGGACATACATGTGAAAATGACTTCTGGCTGCTGTGGGGAGAAGACTACAGGAGGCCCAACAGGAAGAGGACACAGATCAGGAAGTGAGACAACCGGTTTTTGGATCAAGGTGGTGGCAGGGGTGCTACTGTAATCAAATTCAAGAGATGTTTTTGAGCCCTAGCCGGTTTCGCTCAGTGGTTAGAGCTTTGGCCCATGGACTGAAGGGTCTCCGGTTCAATTCTGGCCAAGGGCACATACCTCAGTTACAGGCTCGATCCCTGGCCCTGGTCGGGGCATGTGTGGGAGGCAACCAATCGATGTGTCTCTCTCCCTCTCACTCCCCCTTCCACTCTCTCTGAAAAGCAATGGAAAAAATATCCTTGGGTGAGGATTTCAAAAAAGAGAGAGAGATGTTTTCGAGATAGGACTTTGTGTGACCAGATAACTGGCCATATGGGGGATGAGGAAGAGAAGTCAAGGGCAACCCAATGGATTCTGTCTTTAGTAATAGAGCTAAGAAATCCGCCCAAAAGTTCACGTAGGAACAGGGAAGGACAGAGTTCATGGGGCAGTTATGGGGAAAGAGTAAAGCTGTAACAATAAACTGGTTAGAGGTAATTCAAGATTTCTAATTTCACTCCTTCCATTTTCTTAAACACCTACACTCCAGTGGAGGCTGCTCACTCTGAATCTCTCCTCAAAATTTCTCCATACATTCATCATATCCATCACATCTGTCCATCTATCCATCCATCCCCCTCTGAGACCTCTTCTCAAGCAGATGCTATGAATTCTTATTCTCACACTTCACCACATCAGAGGATGATCAATAGGTGAGATCCTTATTTTCTTAAAAATTCCCAAAGCCTCCTACCTTCTATAAAAGTTCCCACTTTGCCCTGGCTAGTTTGACTCACTGGTTAGAGTGTGGGCCCCCAGAACGAAAGGTCACGCGTTTGATTCCCAATCCAAGGCATGTACCTTGGTTGCAGTTTCCTCATTCCTAGTGGGAGGCAGCCAATCAATGTGTCTCTCTCACATCGATGTTTCTCTCTCTCTCTCCCCTGCCTTCCTTCCCTCCCTTCCACTCTTTCTAGAAGTCAATGGAAAAAATATCCGCAGGTGAGGATTTAAAAAAAAAGTTCCCAATTATCTGAAGCTCAGAACATACACCCGGCACCCTTTGGCTCCTATGTCTGTGTTCTATAATGTCTATTTCAGAGAGCACTTCGGTAAGAGAACTTTCTTCCAAGTACAACAACCACCTTCAAAAGTGTTCATAGGGACAACACATCTGGCATTCTGGCCTAATCATTTCTGGAACTGAAGTACAATGACTTCATCACCCAACCATTTAAAGCCACTCATATCCTGACCTTCCCCTGACCTTTTCCACTCTAGTACTCCATCCTCCTGAGACCCAACAGCCCCCTCACTTGCACTGGGCCTAAGTCTTCCTGTGTCACTTTCACTCTCCCTGACTCAAATGGACTTCCTATTTCCCTCCTTGAGGCACTGTCTTTTGCCATCTGCCATTAGGGGGAATGGGCGAAAAAATCATACAACTTCCTGAAATAATTGCTTTCTTTCATTATCTTTACTTTCTTACTTCCTGCTCACTCCTCAAGTTGTTGCAGTTTGGCTTTCAATTCCACCACCCCACTAAAACTGTTCTCACTGAAGTCACTATTGTGGCTAAATACTGAATTTTATCATTTTCATTCCCTACCTCCTCTGAGCGGGGAAACAGCCATTATCCCTGAGGCATGTGACAGTGCCAGGCCATGAACAGGAATACCAAAATTTGTGGAATAAACAAATTCCAAACCTTCTGGTCAGCTTATAACAAGTTCCCTCTATGAGTCAACAGTTGGTCCTAATTAAACATTAACCTTATTCTTTTTATTATTATACTTCCAGTATCATTAAAGTTTTCAACAATCATGTATTACTTTTGTAACAGTTTGAATAAAAAAGGCAAAATGATGGGAAAATTGGGCAGATACATGCAAAAAAATGAAACTAGATCACCAACTTACATCATACACAAAAGTAAATTCAAAATGGATAAAAGACTTAAATGTAAAACATCAAATCATAAAAAATCCTAGAGGAAAACACAGGCAGCAAAATTTCAGACATCTCTCATAGCAATATGTTTGCTGAAACATCTCCTAGGGCAAGAGAAACTAAGGAGAAATGGGACTGCATCAAAATAAAAAGCTTCTGCACAGCAAAAGAAACCATCAACAAAACGAAAAGGCAGCCCACTGTATGGGAGAACGTATTTGCCAATGAAATATCTGAGAAAGGGTTAATACCCAAATTATTTAAGGAACTCATGCAACTTAACAAAAGGAAGAGAAACAATCCAATTTAAAAATGGCACAGAACCTAAACAGACACTTCTCCAAAGTGGACATACAAATGGCTAAGAGACATATGAAAAAATGCTCAAAATCACTAATCATCAGAGAGATGCACATTAAAACCACAATGAGATAGAAACAAGATGGTGGCGTAGGTAACAGCTGCACCCGCCGCCTCCTGCCACCACATCAAAATTACAACTAAAATACAGAACCACCATCACTCAGAGCCTCCTGAAATCTGGCTGAACAGAAGCCCCACAACCAGGGAACTGAAGAAGCACCGAGACCAGTAGGAGGGGCGCAGACGCAGAGACCTGGCCCCGGGCCCACACCCGGTGCCACGGTTGAAACCCGGGAGGGAATCTCGGTGGTGGGGTTTCCCAGAGGAGGAAGGGGTCCCAGCCCCACAGCAGGCCCCCAGCCCAGGGCTCCAGGGCTGGGAAGAGACGTCCCCACAGCTTCGGGCTGTGAAACCAGCGGGACTGTAGCTGAGGGTCTCGGAGGCTGAGGGAGCCCCAGCAGCTCCTCTTAAAGGGCCCGTGGATGGACTCACTCAGACATGCTCCCTCTGAGCCCAGCGCCAGGCAGCAGCCAGAAAGGAAACTGGGACACTTGGGGAGGAACTAACTTGCCTGAAACCCGGGTGAGAGGTGGAGGGGCAGCTTTCTCCCAGGCAGAAGAGCTGGCAGAGGCCACTGCTCCTTTGGTGAGTCCTCTCTGTGCACAGCGGGCCTGCAGGCGCCATATTTGAATGGCCAGCACCCGAATCACACCTTTGGCCCCACCCGTGATTCCCGGAGGCCCCACCCCTCCCTGCCTGCAGACTCATCCAAGCCATTTCCAGTGGTTTTTCTGTACAAGTGGCCTCTCGAGCCTCATGCTTAGGATTTTACTAAAATCTCTCAAAAAAGCACCAGCGTGCCCCATATGGCTTGATAAGTGGCCCCAGGCCTGGCACTAGCGGCAGCCTGCATTGGCTCATAGCTTGGCCTCTGCTGGACAACACCAAGCCCAGCACAAGTAGCAGCCATCTACGGTTTGCTGTGTAGCTCATGCTGGGTGGCCCTGGGCAAGGCACTGGTACAGGCTGACTTTGCACCTCCCAGGAGGCCTCAGAGACAGTGCACCTGGTTGTTAGACTCAACCACATGTATTACAACCCTACCACATCCACAAGTGACACACTCAAGGGGCACACCTGGTGAACACCAAAGCTCCACTGAAGTAAATCCTGCTCCTTAGGGGTGTCTCCAGCACAGCAGCTCTTTGGCTGTAGTTGCAGCTGGTCCTCACAGCTGATTGGCCTGGGGGTCAGTTCCTCCCAGTGACGCCAACAGCAACCAAGGCTCAACTACAACAGGACAGTGCACACAGCCCACACAGGGGAGCACCTAGAAGGCCCAGCTCAGGTGACTGGGGAGGCTGAGCCACTGGACCCTACAGGACACCTACTACACAAAGCCACTCTACAAATTCCAGGAGACATAGCAGCTCTACCTAATACATAGAAACAAACACCTGGAAGCAGCCAAAATGTGGAGGCAAAGAAACATGTCACAAAGGAAAGAACAGAAGAAATCTCTAGAAGAGGAACTAAATGAAATAGATCCAAGCAAGCTAACAGATAGAGAGTTCAGAATTTTGGTTATAAGGATGTTTAAGCAGACTGTTAGGGAAATAACTGAGAAAATCGATAACATAATAAAGTACCAATTTGAAATGAAGGCTACACGAACTGAAATGAAGAATAATTTACAGGGAATCAACAGTAGAGTAGAGGACGCTGAGAATCAAATCAGCAATTTGGAACATGAGGAAACAAAAAACACCCAACCAGAAGAGCAAAAAGAAAAAAGAATCCAGAAATATGAAGATAGTATAAGGAGCCTCTGGGACAACTTCAAGAGGCCCAACATTTGTATTATTGGGGTGCCAGAAGGGGAAGAAAGAGACCAAGAAATTGAAAACCTATTTGAAAAAATAATTACAGAAAACTTCCCCTACCTGGGGAAAGAAATAGACTTACAAGTCCAGGAAGCACAGAGGGTCCCAAACAAGAGGAACCCAAAGAGGCCCACAGCAAGACACATCATAATTAAAATGCCAAAGGTTAAAGACAAAGAGAGAATCTTAAAAGCAGCAAGAGAAAAGCAATTAGTTACCTACAAGGGAGCACCCATACGACTGTCAGCTGATTTCTCAACAGAAACCTTGCAGGCCAGAAGGGAGTGGCAAGAAATATTCAAAGTGATGAAAAACATGGAACTACAACCAAGATTGCTCTACCCAGCAAAGCTATCATTTAGAATTGAAGGTCAGATAAAGAGCTTCACAGATAAGAAAAAGCTAAAGGAGTTCATCACCACCAGACCAGCACTACAGGAAATGTTGAAGGGTCTTCTTTAAGAAGAAGCTAATGAACAAAAGAATCTGACGAACTAAATAGATCCAGAGACATTGATGCATGCAACAGACGATCATATTTCAGAGGAAAGAGGGAAGGGGGGTGGAGGGTGGGAAGAGATTAACCAAAGAAGTTATATGCATATATGCATAACCCGTGGACACAGACAATGACGGGGTGAAGGCCTGGGGAGGGTGTGGGAGTGAGGTGGAGGGGGTCAATTGGGGCAAAAAAATGGGACACCTGTAATACTTTCAACAATAAAGATAAGTTTTTTAAAAAATGCTACTAGCATAAGGTAAAATACTGATCAATAAAATAAAATTGAGAGTCCAAAAAAAGTTAAAAAATTAAAAAATAAAACCACAATGAGGTATCACTTCACACCTGTCAGAATGGCTACCATCAACAAATTAAGGAACTAGAAGTGCTGGGGAGGGTGTGGAGAAAAGGGCACCCTAGTACTCTGCTGGTGGGAATGCAGACTGGTG